TGCAGACTGTCGCCAGCGCTGCCTGTGTCAGAACGGCGCCACCTGTAACCAGACCAGTGGAACGTGCACGTGTGCCAGTGGCTGGACGGGCACGGCCTGTGAACGAGGTGAGAGTCGCTGGAGCATCAGCATTTTTAACACTCGGACCAAATCCTCACTCTGTCTTTGTCCATTGTTGACAGCCGTGTGTCTGGAATCTTCTCTTTTCTCTGAACTTCTATTTCCTGCTCCCAATCACCCAGGTCGCAGTGAACCACGTGACATCACTTCCTGTCAAAGCTGTAGTAGAAAGAAAGTAAACTGACTTAGTCTTAGCTGCGGGTTATGAACGTTAGGACGCCTCTACACTGGACCACCGTCTCCTCCATGTCTGTTTGTTTATCAGCTGTGTGTTTCTGACCCCCCTGCCACCCCCCACCCCCCAGAGTGTGTCGCCGGGCGGTTCGGGGCCGACTGCCAGCAGCAGTGTGAGTGTGAGAACGGCGGTCAGTGTGACAGAGCGACTGGACGATGCAGCTGCCGCCCCGGCTGGACCGGGGGGAGGTGTGAGAGAAGTGAGGAACTATTGTACATGTACAGTACTGCAGTACTTTGGAGTAGTTCTGTGTTTCTTGTAAATTGTGGGGTTTTTTTCACCCACCTTTTTCTGCACAGCTTGTGATCCAGGACTTTTTGGTTCTGGCTGCGGAGAAAGATGTGAGTGCGCCCCCGGTGTTTGGTGTCACCACGTGACTGGAGTGTGTCAGTGTCCACCGGGCTGGAGAGGAAAACTCTGTGACAAAGGTACACGTGTAGAGAGTCAGGGACAACCTGGAAGTACTGCAGTACTTTCACAGAACATTCAGGTGGAACTGGTCCACCTCTGTGACTGGGGTCACGACCTCTGGTTGGCCTTCTGTCTGTTTGTAGAGAAGCCACAGAGACAGTGAGGCTCAGGCTCAGTGTTTCCCCCCCCCCCCTCCCTCCCCCTCCACAGCTTGTCTGCCTGGTACCTATGGCAGACACTGCATGCAGCAGTGCAGCTGCGCTCAGGGAACGTCCTGTCACCACATCACTGGAGAGTGTGGCTGTCCTCCTGGATCCACGGGCAGCGGCTGTGAACGGAGTGAGAACCACGTGATGATGATGATGATGATGATGATGATGATGATGAGAACTCTGCATCTGACTGTGGTCGTCTCCATCAGTTTGTCTTCCAGGAACCTTTGGCCACAACTGTAACCACGTTTGTCAGTGCTCAGAAACGAACCAGCTCTGCCATCCTGTGTCTGGATCCTGCTACTGCGCCCCAGGTTTCCAGGGGCCCAAATGTGATCAAAGTAAGTCCAAAAAAACAGGCATTTCACACAGCAGTAAAATATGAAAGAGTCAAAACCACAGGAAGAAACGGAAGCTTTTCTTTTGTTGTGCCTTCAGTCTGTGGAGAAGGTCGTTATGGTCCAAACTGTGAACGAGAATGTGAGTGTGAAAATGGAGGGAAGTGTGAGGCGTCGTCTGGAGCCTGTCAATGTCCGGCCGGGTTCATAGGCGCTCCATGTAACATCAGTGAGTCCAGTCAGACAGAGTTAATGAGGTGAGGACACTGACACTGACACTGACACTGACACTGTGTGTGTGTGTGTGGACAGCGTGTCCAGCTGGACACCATGGTGTTAACTGTACTCAGGTCACAGAGTGTGGAGACGGAGCCCAGAATGACCCCGTTACTGGAAAGTGTGTGTGTCTTCCTGGACGACGAGGAGACGACTGTAGACACAGTGAGTGTCTGTTGTTGTCTGTTGTGTTGTGCCCTCCTTACATTTAGGGACCGACACTAAACTCCAGGAACGTCAAAAAATAAATAAATCATTGAGGGACAGATTTAAATTCTACAACAAAAGCTTCACACGTGACGTTTTTATTTGATAATCATAATATACATGGAAACAGTTCTGTACCACTGACCTTTGACCCTGGGGTTCCAGGTGTCTGTGTTAACAGCCCTAACCTTCTGTCACCTGGTGTTAACCGTGAACGCTCGTCTGTTCTTCAGGTTGTTCTCCAGGCTGGTTCGGAACCAACTGTGTCCAACGTTGTAACTGCAGTAACGGAGGGGTGTGTGACCCAGTGACGGGCCGCTGTACCTGTGGTCTGGGCTGGACTGG